TCCCACACACACACCGTACAAGGAACCATCCATTACGTGGCTGGCAGCTAAGAGAAACCACCCGTCAAAAAACCTCACACATTTATAGGGAGAAGGTGTAAACAAAAATGGCATGGAAGGTTGAAATTTCCCATTATGTAGTCCATAGCTGCTATTGATTTGACTTACAGGGTTCACAAAGTAGGTCTACCTCGACTAGTTATCTAGGCCATAATAACCTTGAACTTTGTATCGTTGTAAGCTGAATTATTGATTGATAGGTCCAACCTTCTCCCCCTTTGGCAGTCCAAGATGGTACAATTGCTGCAAATATTTCTTGCATGATCTGTCCTAAGTAGAGCCATGAACAGTGGAGAAGAGATGTAGACAGGGGTGGTGTATATGGGGTACTGCACACAAGAGTGGGAGTACTTAGCAAGAATCCATTCCAGCGACTCCTCGATTGGACAGTACACACCACTGGTGACTGTGGAGCACTCCAGAGGGCCTCAAGAGACAATCTACAAGTTGACACATAAGAATCAGACATGTTATACCTAAAGCCAGCGTAGACCAAAAGCGTATTGGCAAACACAGCAGGGTTGCATTCCAAGGTCTTTGAATAGGAGAGCCATGGGAGGGGGAGGGGTTTTTGCAGACTTGCCCCACACCCAAGTGCAACTCCCAATGGCAGCTAGGAGCACGTGAAAACTATATTCAGAATGAGTATTGCAGTCGCAGCTTGGATGCTATGTGCATCACAGTGAAGATCACGCGCAACAGAGTATCGCGACAGCAGCAGGTGCACAGTTAGCATGACAACCAGCTGATTCAAACTCATGAGGCAAGGCCCCAAGTCACCTGGTCAACGGGCCAGCAAGCGACAACTTTCACACTAAGGTTCAACTCTTTTTTATCTTAATATTTTTCTTCCTTTTAACCCTTTATTACCGGATTACTTGCACAGCATGCACCAGAATTACGAATTTCAGCACAATTTCCAACTTCACCAGGTCATAACTTTGGTCTCCTTCACTTGATTTTCACAATCTAGGGCTCGTTGGAAAGCTCTTGGCGAGAGCAACGCCAGGGTACCAAGCTCCATTATCCAGTCGCCACAAATCAGGCGCGGTAACACAGCAAAGTCGTCTCCAAGCCTGATATGCAAGCAAATTCGTTCCATCAACGCCATTCCACTCTCCTTCATCGCAGAACGCTCAAATTTGTTTCAGACGATTCAAACTTCAGCCGACTACGTCATTATCATGTGCTGAGTCGCTCAAAGAGCACACGAAAAGGGATTTTCCCCAAAAACGGCGAAGTGATCGATCAAAAATTTGAATTTGCCGAGATGAAAATACGGCGCGCGATATCTCAGGCGTCCGACATCGTAACTCTTCGGCGATTGTTGCATTGGATAGCTTGGAGGTTCTGCTACCAAATAGACCTTTCGATTGTTGAAATCGCACAAGAAATGATGGAGTTACGAAGATATTACTGGCCTACAGACTTTCGATCATATATGATCGAAAGTCTGCAGGCCGGTACTAAAGGGTTAAGAATTGCACCCTATTGTACACGTATATTTGTTCTCGGAGACCCCCTTGATTTAGGCTTCGCTTTTTTTTTAAAACTCGAGTTCAACTCCAGTGACAGGAGTGCGCCCAAAAAGGTCAAACAGGCTGTAAGTTGTACCTTGCAGGCGGTAGGCTGGCACGGTGACCAGGTGACTGGTGTACGCAGGAGCACGTGACCGCTTGTTCAACCATGTTCGATTGGGAATAAAGGAGGAACGCTGCTGCAATGAACGCAGCATTCTTGGACGAAAACCAGTCGGCTCAGCGTCCAAAAGACTACAACATATGGGCCAATCGCGGTCATCCGTGCTTTTATAAGAACGACATAGCGCTTTTAGTGACCATTTGCATACAAATCCCCATCTAGTAGGGTGCAGTCACCCAGTTTCGGTGAGAGTGCGTGAGTTTGATCGGGAATAAAGGAGGAATGGAGCGTCTCAGCTTCCTCGGACCAAGACCATTCGACTCAGCACCCCGAAGACTACAACTGGTGAAAATTTGATTTTAGGCTTCCCCTTTCCCATTGATAATTTTGGTCACCAAAAACATGAAAAGACTACAGCTGTAGAATGCAGACAATCTGTGGGGGCAGGAAGTTAGATTTGTGAACAAGGTAATAATGGCCTACCAGTGCTGTTCGACATAATCACCAACACATGCACTAAAACCATCACACCAGCAGAAAACTGCACAGCAGACATCTACGTACCGTCAGGAGCATGATCTGACAGGAATCAGTGGTATCCAGGTATAGTGAAGTTGCGCATAAGTGACGATCATCAATGACCAACCGTGGGAAATCCTTGCACGTCTTGTCTACTGCACCCACCTGGTGATGAGCATAGCTGGAGTGAAAACGCAAATGCACGAGAAACCCCCAGAGAAGGAAATGAGGAGTTGATGGACAACAACAGGAGAATCCCTCGTGCAATAACATCCACGCTGGACTCAACATTTCTGTTCAAAAATATGTTGGAATCAGCAGGCAATCGATGTCCTATAAACAGCTGAAGTCCAGCAGGGATTCTAACTCATGACCTAGCAGTATTTTTTTATGACACTGTCGAAGTTACGGAACTTTCCCTGTAGAAAGTGGAAACGTTTCCTGTATGCAGTCCATGTTTTTGTCAGTTGGATTTTTGGAAAGATTAACTGTTCACTTGATCCAGCAATCATGGACTGCGCTGGATAGCTTTAACTGTGTCTCAGAATTCAACTACTTCCTCCGTTAACAAAAACTTCGTGATGGATTTTGATGGATATGAAAACGCTTAGAACAGGTGAAGAAAAGTTAGTATCGACTGTAAATCACTGGATGAAGGTAGTTCAGCCTATGTACAGCGTCTGTACAAGAGAAATTGTTGGCGAAGCAGAAAGTTCAGTTTGCGTTGCTTTCGCTTGACTCATTTTTGACCCTGCGTCGCCGTCGTCATCTGCTGCACGCGAGTCGTCATCTCTCAGTTCTTGTTCAGCTCTTTTCAGCCTTGCTTCAGCTTCTTTGATCACACTTCGCTGAACTTTGGTGACGTCGCCGTCGTTCTAGTTAGCTGGCATTCAAGCTGCGTGGTTCGCCGCTGTGGCAATAACTCGTTTCCACCATGGCGTCCTCAAAATATTTTACGACTTCCTGGTTTCACCTCCACTCTCCAGAACTACACAAAATGAGTAAAGGCACAGCCGAACTGATTCCATTTTCTCTGATGGATACTCCTGCCAGCACTGAACGGCACCGGCTTGCAAGTCCCTTCAATTCTCCTTAGCCACGAGACTCACGTCGGACTGCAGACTTCTAAAGAATGCATGGTCATCAGCATTCGAATCTGGGCTCTGTGCCGGTTGAGCTTGAATTCAGAATCATTTCATTGTGTTTGTGGGATCTGAGCAGCTCAGAACTTGCTCACTATGTGGGCTTGCTGCTCCGTTCTATCGCTCTCTATCACTCTCAAACTCAGTACTAGAGAGGCCAAGCAGCGCATAATGCCCTCGGAGAAGTGGAATATCAGTTTGGCTCGCCATGGCTGTCATCACCTTTGTTGCCACAGCGCAACCATCGATTCCGCTCGGCTTGTTGTGAAAGGTCGCTTTCCTTGCATCGCATCTCTTTCATGGCATGCCAGGGAAGGCCGAGAAAGTGATTTCGACTCAATTTATGGCAGTTTGTGCGCAAAACCAGTCCCTCAAAAATCCATCACAAAGTTTTTTTTTAACAGAGGAAGTAGCCACAAGGACACAAGGAGAACAGTTTGCTGCGTTGGAGTCTTTCGCTCGCTGAACTGAAGCTAATGAAAATGATACCACCACCACCACCTAGTCAGTAGACATTTTGGTAGAACTTGACAGGGTTTGGGGGCCAGCTAGCTCTGGGCAAGGAAAGAAATTCGTGTGGCGCTAGACCTTTGGTACAAATACAAGTTTATAAAATGGTGTAGCACCAGTGTAGAACCTTCCAAGTTGGAAGGCTGCTGGTTTGCGCATTCTAGACGTGATGCAGCTCATCAGGTGGTTGAATGTCATGATCTAATCGGTCAGTTTTGTGCTAATTGTTGCACATTTTTGACTCAACAGTATTCTACTTATAACCGTTAGTGTTGGACAAAACGGATAACTTGTAAACTTTTGGTCCTCTTTTTTTAAATTTTAACCCTTGGCTCACCTGAATACTAGTACGAACTTGTTGAGCAGCACGTCGACGATAACCAATGGCAATGATAACTGCTACAGATACTGGTAATAGTGGTACATGTATCGCTCTTGCTAGACCTACATCACAGTGGTCCGACTGCGTGGTTTTACATGATGGCCATGCTTGGCTGCTCACAGGTCCGGGATTTGGTCTTTGGCCGACGCCGCAGCCGTCGGTTTCAGCTTCTCGGCTATCCACCTATCGCTCCGTATCTCTCTTCATCCCTTGGCCAAACGAGTCTTGACTTCAACATACATGTACAACTGTAGCCGTAGCTGCTCTGACTAAAGTCAAACTGTCCACTTCATGATCGAAAATAAAACCGAACAACACAAATCGCTCACTATGTCAGAGTGTCGCAGGAGCGGAACTTCCGCAGGAGAGTATACGCTCCAAAATTTTTTGGAGTAGCGGATTTGAACTTTCTGCCACGGCGGAAGTTCCGCTACTCGCAGTTTCCATGGTGATACACGCTGTTGCGACACCGCTGCAGCGGATCCGCAACTCTCAAGTGCATGTGGGACCGGGCCGAAGTTACGTGCAAGTATGCTGTAGTTCTAAGACAACCCGTGGCCACTGGTAGTAGTAGTAGTAGTAGTAGTAGTAGTAGTAGTAGTAGTAGTAGTAGTAGTAGTAGTAGTAGTAGTAGTAGTAGTAGTAGTAGTAGTAGTAGTAGTAGTAGTAGTAGTAGTAGTAGTAGTAGTAGTAGTAGTAGTAGTAGTAGTAGTAGTAGTAGTAGTAGTAGTAGTAGTAGTAGTAGTAGTAGTAGTAGTAGTAGTAGTAGTAGTAGTAGTAGTAGTAGTAGTAGTAGTAGTAGTAGTAGTAGTAGTAGTAGTAGTAGTAGTAGTAGTAGTAGTAGTAGTAGTAGTAGTAGTAGTAGTAGTAGTAGTAGTAGTAGTAGTAGTAGTAGTAGTAGTAGTAGTAGTAGTAGTAGTAGTAGTAGTAGTAGTAGTAGTAGTAGTAGTAGTAGTAGTAGTAGTAGTAGTAGTAGTAGTAGTAGTAGTAGTAGTAGTAGTAGTAGTAGTAGTAGTAGTAGTAGTAGTAGTAGTAGTAGTAGTAGTAGTAGTAGTAGTAGTAGTAGTAGTAGTAGTAGTAGTAGTAGTAGTAGTAGTAGTAGTAGTAGTAGTAGTAGTAGTAGTAGTAGTAGTAGTAGTAGTAGTAGTAGTAGTAGTAGTAGTAGTAGTAGTAGTAGTAGTAGTAGTAGTAGTAGTAGTAGTAGTAGTAGTAGTAGTAGTAGTAGTAGTAGTAGTAGTAGTAGTAGTAGTAGTAGTAGTAGTAGTAGTAGTAGTAGTAGTAGTAGTAGTAGTAGTAGTAGTAGTAGTAGTAGTAGTAGTAGTAGTAGTAGTAGTAGTAGTAGTAGTAGTAGTAGTAGTAGTAGTAGTAGTAGTAGTAGTAGTAGTAGTAGTAGTAGTAGTAGTAGTAGTAGTAGTAGTAGTAGTAGTAGTAGTAGTAGTAGTAGTAGTAGTAGTAGTAGTAGTAGTAGTAGTAGTAGTAGTAGTAGTAGTAGTAGTAGTAGTAGTAGTAGTAGTAGTAGTAGTAGTAGTAGTAGTAGTAGTAGTAGTAGTAGTAGTAGTAGTAGTAGTAGTAGTAGTAGTAGTAGTAGTAGTAGTAGTAGTAGTAGTAGTAGTAGTAGTAGTAGTAGTAGTAGTAGTAGTAGTAGTAGTAGTAGTAGTAGTAGTAGTAGTAGTAGTAGTAGTAGTAGTAGTAGTAGTAGTAGTAGTAGTAGTAGTAGTAGTAGTAGTAGTAGTAGTAGTAGTAGTAGTAGTAGTAGTAGTAGTAGTAGTAGTAGTAGTAGTAGTAGTAGTAGTAGTAGTAGTAGTAGTAGTAGTAGTAGTAGTAGTAGTAGTAGTAGTAGTAGTAGTAGTAGTAGTAGTAGTAGTAGTAGTAGTAGTAGTAGTAGTAGTAGTAGTAGTAGTAGTAGTAGTAGTAGTAGTAGTAGTAGTAGTAGTAGTAGTAGTAGTAGTAGTAGTAGTAGTAGTAGTAGTAGTAGTAGTAGTAGTAGTAGTAGTAGTAGTAGTAGTAGTAGTAGTAGTAGTAGTAGTAGTAGTAGTAGTAGTAGTAGTAGTAGTAGTAGTAGTAGTAGCGAAGTAAATACATTCAATCAATCACTAGTAAAAACACCGGCCACCGTGAGCATCAATATTCCAAACCTTGTCGAAGGGCTCACAGAGTCAAACCTTGCAGTTCCATTGCGGCATGCCTCGTAGCAAAGGAGGAGGAGGCTCTGTGAATGTCAGCGGCTACTGTTGTGGTCCCGTTGTTGTACCCGATCCGTTCCGGGATCGGTTACCCATATGCATTCCCGTACTCTGTACATATATGGATCCTGGTTGTGCATCTTTTTCTTTTGTTGTTCTATGTAAATAAACTTTAGTTGTTGTCTGGGACTTGTGGAGTGAAGTTGATCTATGGAGTGCAGGAACTAACTTGATGTTCACTCAGGAACATTACATGGTGTCAGAAGTACCAGTTAGTCATGTCGTCTGCCAAATTTCCTGTACCTGCCCCGTTCGATTTCTCCACCCCAGAAGCATGGCCACTCTGGAAGACCCGTTTTGAACGCTTTAGTTCTTTGTCCAAATTGGACGAGGCGGACGAACAACGCCAAGTAGACACATTAGTTTACTCCATGGGAGCCGAAGCCGATCCAATCTTTGAGTCTCTATCTCTGTCCGCGGATGATAAGAAGAAACTCGACAAGGTACTGGAGGCCTTTGACAAGTATTTTCGCCCGGGTGTAAACGTAATCCACCAACGGACATTGTTTGAAAGGTGTGTCCAGAACCCAGGTGAATCCGTGGAAGAGTATGTGCGTCGTCTCCGTGCCGCAACCAAATACTGCGCGTTTGACAAGTCTGATGAGCGTATCCGCGACAGGTTAGTGGCCCATATGACGAACCGAGAAGTTTCGAAGAAGCTACAGCTCGAGGATGACACTCAGCTGACACTCGAGACTGCCGTGAGCTTGGCACGCAAAACGGAGTCCGTAAACGCCGAGGTCGCCCAGCAAACGCCCCGGGTGAGCCAAGCTGCTCCAGCTACCTCACCGCAACGGAAACACGGCAAGTCCCCTGCTTACGCAAGTTACGGATCGACGGGAAAGCGACCACAGGTCAAGTCCCAACGAGACTCGAGCAACAGTAAGAAGTGCTCGTGGTGTGGCTCCTCCAAAGACCACAAATTGAACCGTGACGAATGCCCTGCCAAGGACAAGTCTTGTAACAAGTGTCGTAAGTCTGGACACTTCGCCAGCGTCTGCCGGTCTGCCTCCGCCAGTGCAGCACACAACGATTATGTGCATGTAGCTGGGTTTGACTTGCAGTCGGACCCCGTCGGCGAAAATTTCCTTGGAGCTGCTTCTACCCACACCGCTGACGAGCCGTGGATAGTACGACTGGATCTGTGCGGCTCACACCTCGATTTCAAAATCGACACTGGAGCTGATCTCAACATTATGACGCAGGCCAGCTACAACGCTTTATCTGCACTGCCAGTACTCAGTCCGTGCCAGACACGTATGATTGGGCCTGATGGGAACCAGCTCACGATACAGGGTGAGTTCCACACTTGTGCTGTGTTCCGTAATGTACAGTACCCAGTCACTATCCTGGTCATTGCCACTGGTGGTGTCAACTTGCTGAGCAGGCAGACATCTGAACAGATGGGCCTAGTACAACGTCTTCATGTTGGCTCTTCAGATGCCCAGCCGAAAACCGGATGCATGCTAGGCAAGCCAGTCGAGATTGAGTTGAAGCCGGTCTAATGGTACGTACGTAAATGGGTATACTCGTTCGGCATCGTCAGGTTCTTCCTCTTCACGCCCAACTAGTGGCGGGGAAGCAGGCTCCGTCAGTGTCGGTGGCTATACGCGTTCCAATGGTACGTATGTCAGTGGACATACTCGTTCAGCGCCTACTCAATCAGCGCCTACTCGTACAGCGCCTACTCAATCAGCGCCTACTCAATCAGCGCCTACTCGTTCAGCGCCTACTCAATCAGCGCCTACTCGTTCAGCGCCTACTCGTACAGCGCCGTCAGATTCTTCTTCAGCTGGATATAATATTATTAGACCGGCAACGTTATGTTCCTCGTCCTCTTCTCCAGCAGGCGGCACTCGCGAATCGTCAAGCACAGCTACCACATCAACACCTAACCCATCACGCTCAACAGGCGTTGAAGACTTTGTACATGTGGATGTCTATACTCGGTCTGATGGAACTAAAGTGTCGGTGGCTATACGCGTTCCAATGGTACGTATGTGAGTGGGTATACTCGCTCAACACCTGCAAATTCTTCTTCAGCTGGATATATTCAACCAGCAACGCTACGCCCAACGCTACACCTGGTTTAAGACCGGCTCAACAAGCACCGTGCAAATGGACGACTGACCTGGCAGAGGCTCTTCCCGCCCAGCACGCCAGCATAATGCAGTGGCGGCACCCCGAAGACTACAACTGGTGAAAATTTGATTTTAATCTTTGCTTTTAAAGCTCATTTCTGAATAATCGGTCTGGAGTGGTTTGAACAGTTTGGTTCTAGCAAGTTGCCTTCAGGGTGCACCAGCCTTTTCTGTCTTGGCTCGCCAGCTATTATATCAATGAACTAGTAATTTTCACCATTCTGTAGCACATCCTATCGATCACAGCTATTGTGCTCTACAGCATTGTTCTTCAAGATTCTGAGCTTTCTGTTTGTCTTTCTCTTTATCATCATCCTGGATGGCACAAGTGAAGTAGGCATCCCCGCTTACATCGCGATAGTGCTTATAATAATAATAATAATTTTAAAGCTCATAGCTGTACTGATGGGGCTTTTTTCTATATTCTTTTTTTACTATGTTCACATAACCAGCTCGAAAAGGATAAGTAAAGACAATGGTACAGAGACTAGGATAAACGTGACAACTAATGAGCAGGCGCTGCACCGAGACGCAGCAGTGATGGTGGGGCATCGATGACTCTGGCGACCTGAGGTCTCGGCGTCACGGCCACAAACACGCAGCAAAAGCAATGAAAAAAGAAGATAGCTTATATGGCCGAAACAGCTTGCTGTCTACAACATTGGGTAGGACAGTGACTGCATACTGGGGATCCAACTACACTATCTATACTGATGGGGCCTTTATGGCTGAAACAGCTTGCTGTCTACAATATTGGGTAGGACAGTGACTGCCTACCGGGAATACAACTACACTATCAATAGATGCTGTAGGGGCATACCGTCCGACTGTTTCAGGATTTAGACTGCATACCTGACTCCCGACTGCCTACCGAATCTAACACATATACACCACGAAGCTGCCTACCTGTGCACACTGAGTGACAGATGGCTCACAAACACGGCCGCCAGTGAGAGAGCGTGTCATTGCAGTCCTGCATCCTGGAATACACTCTCCCATGCCCATGTGGTCATTGGAAGGGAACAAAGAGAGAAATGCAGAACATTAGGATTCTGTGATACCAAACAAGCATTACACTCATCCAGCTGAAAAGGACATCTGCAACTAATAGATCATCCACAAAAGTACGTGAACTACAGGGAAAGTACATAAGAGAGCTAGCACAGGATGTCGCAACCACAATGGATCATGGCGAACATTGAATTGGCAGAATTTCGTTGCACTATTTGTCGCTTTGAAGCCAGGATTCACAACCTTCTCAGAAGATGGTGAAAACTTATATTGCCATGGAGTTATCGCCCATACAGCTCATGCAGTTACCAAGTTTCCCTCCTTCTTATGAGTATTCCTATGTTAATCAATTAGTTCTGATTGGAATTTTAGCCATACCGTAGTTCCGCGCATATAAGCCCATGGGCTAATATACGAAATAATGCATTTTCCGGGGGAAAAAATCAGTAATAATGGTTCGTTTTTTAGCCCTGGGCCTATATTCGAATTTTGAAGGCAGCTGGCACGTCAAAAAGTACAAGTCCATGCGCGGTTGTCCGCCTACTGTAGGTACCGGTGCTGGTAATGTAGTCTGCACTGACATGCTGTACTACGGTGTCTGGGTCTGTTTATTAGCCCATGGGCCTATAAACGGAGGTGGGCTTATATGCGGATATAGGCCCATGGGCTTATATGCGCGTAACTACGGTAGTTCTTATTAAAGGGGAAGTTAAGGCAAAAATTAAAATTTCACCAGTTGTAGTCTTCGGGGTGCTGAGTCGAATGGTCGTGGTCCGAGGAAGCTGAGACGCTCCCTTCCTACTTGAATCCCAATCGAACTCGCGCACTTCCACCGAAACTGGGTGACTGCGCCCTACTAGATGGGGATTTGTATGCAAAATGTCACTAAAGCGCCTTTTCGTTCTTATAAAAGCACGGATGACCGCGATTGGCCCATATGTTGTAGTCTTTTGGACG